ATTTTCTATTATATTCTATTCTGATCTATTTTATTCTATTCAATTTGATTCTATTCTGTTCTATTCTGTTCTAATCCATTCTATTCTGATCTAATCTATTCTGTTCTGTTCTATTATATTCTGATTTGCTCTGTTATATTCTATTATATTGTATTCTGAACTGTTTTATTCTGTGCTATTCTATTCTATTCTGTTTTGTTCTGTTCTAATCTATTCTATTCTATTCTATTCTTCTCATAATATCATGACTTGTGATGTACAGTGGTTTCTAGCCTTTGAGATGTCCTCTGATGGCCTGACTTTTGTCACTAAATCACCCTCTGATGAGAAAACTTTAGTTCTTTATTAGTTTTGAACAACGGACTGAATTCTGGCTATAAAAACTGAATTTTTGATGGATGGTTCATTCTTTTTTACCCAAGCTTGACACAATCATGAGAAGTTTTTTTGTTTATTTTTAGATTCTGATCCTTTTCTCTTTTAGCCATAATAAAGGCTTTTTCTGAGTGTGTTGTTGCGTCATATCTTAAATTTGTTGATATATTTTGAAGTCAAGCTTCTGTAAAGTTTATAAGTGTTTCAGCAGACGGTATTTTTCTGAAGGAACATGATGAAGAGCTCTGAATCATCTGAAATCATCTGAAAGGACAAAGGTAAAAAGGTTGTTTGTTTTTACAGGTAGCGCTGTGCTGAGGTGAGGCAGCCTGAGACTGGTGGTTACCATGGCACCCAGGCCATCATCAGGGGAGTTATGGGGACTTCATCTGATGCCCCCTAGGATCCTGGTGGACTGCTGCCTCCCAAATGGTGATATTCTGCTCTACTCTGCTCTACACTACTCTGTTCTGCTCTATTCTACTCTACTCTATTTTACTCTACACTTTTCTACTCTATTCTATTTTACTCTGTTCTGCTCTACTCTAATTTACTCTACTTTGTTTTACTCTATATTTTACTCTACTTTGTTTTACTCTACTCTATTTTACTCTACTTTACTCTGCTCTATTTACTCTACTCTATTCTACTCTCCTCTACACTATTTTACTCTCCTCTACTCTAATCTACTTTACTCTGAACAATGGACTGAATTCTGGCTGTAAAAACTGAATTTTTGGTGGATGATTCATTCTTTTTTACCCAAGCTTGACACAATCATGAGAAGTTTTACTTCTGCTCTACTCTATTTTACTCTACTCTAATGGTAAATGGTAAAAATGGTACTGAACTTATAGAGCACTTTTTCAAGTCCCTTCAGACCCCAAAGCGCTTTACACTAACAGACATTCACCCATTCGCACA